ACATGTGCACACACACACACGTGCACACACACACCAGTGTGCTGTCACACATGTGCACACACACACGTGCACACACACACCAGTGTGCTCTCACACACATGTGCACACACACACAAATGTGCACACACACACCAGTGTGCTCTCACACACTCACACGTGTCACACACACACGTGTAAACGCCCATCCCCGTTCCCGTCCCCTCCCGCCCCCTCCCCGGTGCCCCCCCCGGCCCGGGGGTCCCCGCGGGCTCGTCCATCACCGCCAGCGCCGCGGGCCCGGAATTGGGGGAATTTTGCCTGGATTAGGCGCGAGGCGCATTAATCCATTAGAAATGTCAGCGCGCGGCCCCGCTAATTGTCTCATTTAAATGTCTATTTGTCAGCGCCCGGCTCAGGTGGGCATGAGGCGCATCGCAATGAGCCCCCCCGGCCCCCCCGGCCCGGCGGGGAGGGGGCAGTGAGGACGGAGATGGGGGTCCGGCGCCCCCCCCCCACTGCCGGGCTGGGTTTGTGCTCCGACATCTCCTGAATCCCTGATAAATGTCGCTTGTCCAGAGAATCGAACCCGGCCCGGCCTGTCCGTCCATCTCCTGCCGGGGGGGCGGACAAGGGGGGGCACGAAATCCCCCCACCCCGGGGATCCCCCCGCAGCCCCTTCTCCCCGGGACGGGCAGCAGCCGGGCCTGGGACCCCAAGGCTCGTCGCGGTGGGGGCAAACTGGGGGGGTCGTGGTGGGGCGGGGGCTCGGCACCATCCCGGGGGGCACAGGGGGAGCTCGGGGTGTGGATGAGACCCGCCAACACCGCTGTGGGGCGGGGGCTCGGCACTATCCTGGGGGGCACACGGGGAGTTTGGAGTGCAGATAAGACACCCCCTCCAGCACCGCTCAGCCCTGGGCGATGCAGCTGCTCCAGGGTGGGACCCCCACCCCACCCCATCCCCGAGCCCTTCACTGCCGGGGGGGGCCTGGCACAGCACCATGACCCCCCCGGCCCTAATAAACAGCAGTTGCTAATGAGCTGGGGTGGAGGGGGGGGAGGGCTGAGGATGCCCGGGGGGGGGCATTGGCGGTTAGTGGGGGTGGTGAGGGCTGGGGGTGCCCGGGGGGTGCCAGGGCAGGGAAGGGGCTGAAGTGAGGGCTGGGGGGGCACACTGGGGTGCGGGTGACAGCGGGGACTCCCCAGCGCTGTGACTCGCCCCCCCAGCCCCGCGACAGCCCCAGGACCACCCCCCGTGTGTGTGTGTGTGTGTGTGTGTCCCTGCCGCTGGTTCATTGTGGCCTCAAGGACAATTTTCCTCCAATTCGGACCGTTTGTCCCCGACCCGCCCCGGGCCCCCCCCGTGGCCGCCCCCATCCCATCCATATCCATTCGCACGGGGGTCCCCTCGACCCGTCCCCCCCCGGGGACAGCGGGGTGACACCCCCGGGCACTGGGGACGCTTCAGCACCGTGTACTGGGCGGCACTGGGCGGCACTGGACGTGCCCCCCCCGAGCCGGGAGGTCCTGGGGGGCCGCGGAGGCAGCTGGTGACCGTGGGGTTGTGTCAGAGCGGCGGGGGGGGGACGGGGGGGCCGGCGGGGACACGGGGACGTGGTG